AATAGACACAAATTATTTCTCTGTAGTTCACAAGTATGCACGAGAATATACTTTTTTCAAGTGAATATTCGTCGTAATGATCACAGACAAACCTGATCATGGTTTATTGACTGACAGATAATGCATAAGCTTCAAGAATTAAGGATGATTTACAAACATGTAGACATCATTAATGATATTCGTTGAGAGTCCTAGGTGGAGGTGAGTTACTAGAAAACCTGAAAAGGTTAAAGAATGTGTGTTAGAGGATTAAAGTGTAATAGGAATACCATTTATCGGAGAGTTTTCCTAACCACGTAAATGCAACAGGTATGGTGCCATAAGATATATTCGTCAATTTTTTACTAGTTAGGCTTCCATTTGTAACAGTTCCACGAATGTGTAATTTATGTTTAAATCATAAATACTTTTTATTACTTTAAAAAGTACATCTTTATTATTTTTGCCTATATTTACGTTCATAATATTTACAAAGAAAAAATGAATTAAATTAATACACAAGTCACAATCAAATATAAAATATTTACACATCTACAAACGACTATATATAATGTATTACAGGTCATAATTATATTCATACAAATCGAACGTTAATTTAATCCTCTAGTTTTCCATGTGAGTCTTGTTGATTAAATCTTCACGATGTCCATTGTCTAATGCTAAAAAATTATGTACTTGATTGTGAAGACACCGCAATCACCCCTGTATATAAATAGTAAGATGTTAGTTAAATAAATATGACTGAAAGCTAAGTTTACAAATAAAAATACTTTATTATCTTCTTGTCGTCCTCATATTCACAAAGATTAGTTTATCATGTGCCGCAATGTTCGCTTTCCTAGCTATCATGGGAACAATAATCATCATCAGCATCAGTACTCCCTCCAGCTAGCCCTATATGAGACTGCCATGACCAGAGTCGCACGAATACGATATCAACTAAAAAAGTGTGAGTTTGCGATCATTGGAATGTATAGACATGTACACCCATCCACACTTTCCCCATCTCGGTTTGATCTCTCTTACATGCTGAAGCCTGTAATTAGGTAACGGTACACAAATCTGTCCAGGTCACTTCCTTCATGCCTTCCTCAATATCGACGACTTGCTTAAACGTATAGCTTATGATAACTCGTCCATGCCTTCTCTATAGTCACCCCCTCCATACCCTCCATCACCACTATTGTCCTCTTCAACGTATCTCCACCTATATGATGGTGGAGAATAACCCACGAAATTATCTCCTCCACCTTCTTATCCAGACATCTTAGATGGGCCCATAAAACTCTTACCTCAAGTCTTAGCACTCCTACCTCGTCTCGGATAACTCCAGTCAGGTGCCTACTTAGACACTCAAACAAATCATCTGAATAATCTTGATGTTGTGTATACTCATGACTAGTTGCAGGGGATATCCTCATTGAAGAAGAGCTCCTGAGTGAAGGTGATCGCCGTTCAACTAGATTTTGCTCTTATATAAATTACAAGATTGTCAATTAATAATTTAATTAAAATAATACAACAGAAAAATATAAACGACACTAAAATTAAATTAATATCTCTCTTTCCATTCGGAACAAAATCAGATAATGTATCATCTTGAGTAAGAGGAATAAACAATTTCCACACATACGTATGATCCTCCTCAATCAATGTTGTCAACTCGTTATGGACTTCGAGCTATTATATTGACATTTCAAAGAGTTAAAAGTCATATATTGAGTCAATAAACGTACATACAATATAAATTGCAAGAGTATAGTACCCACTCTAAGATCGTCAAGGATAGCAGACACATCGCTGTATTGGGCTTATCCAGTGCCTACTAGCGATGCATTCGAGAGCACCTTGTATTTTTTATGGTCATCTACCTGTCACCCAAAAAGGGATAGCCTCGTATGTCTATATCTGCAACACTTACACTATATAATAAAACGTTTTAACATTCATTAGGTTTATTGACCTATAAGGCAAATGATAAGTAATTTGCATCATATATATGCTCGATCTTTGATGACTTGGGCACTGAATGCACCCTCCTAAAGACATGCAGTGTATCCACAAAACATCTTGAACCCCATGGATCGTTGTTGAATGTATTAATATTATCAACAACGTCAATTTAAAAAAGATCAATAGATAGATATTTTATGGTATTTGCACCCCAACACACTTTTGATGATAAACACCAATCCAAATTTCA